GGTTTTATTTTTTGAGCAATGTCTCTCTTGAACCTGACCCATTTGTATAGGGTCTTCTAGTCTGGAGAATATAGCTGTTGTAAAAGTAGGCATTGAAATGCTTTCTTTGCTTATGACAATGCCTGTGGGCAACTGTGTAGGTCTCCACCTTTGGGCCAAGGCTCTCAGAACAGACAGCACGTTCCAAACCTGTCTGTGTGCCTGACTTAATGGAAAGCATCATACGCTAGGCTTTATGGAAAGCCTGCTGGCTGCTCAGTGCATCTTTTCTATCATGCATGGTAATGATGATGATGTACTGTTAAAAAAGTGCAGCTCAAGATTTCCAATTAGTTTGTTTAATTATTTTTTTCAAAAGATCCTGTGTCATGTTACCTAGAGATATTTCATTAGTTTATTTATGTGTCTTTCATATCAGAGCAACTGTTCTTACCCTCCATCCCAAGGACATTTGACAATATCTTGAGATATTTTCACTGTTACAATTTTTGGGGGTGGTGGTAAATGATAGTAGCAACTAGTGGGTAGAGTCTAGGGATGCTATGAAATCTCATGTCATAATCTAAAAATGTCAATAGTACCAAGGTTGAGAAATACATAAAATATCCAGTTGTTTTTCATTTCTACATCTTTAAACACAAATAATATATAAATTAAAATACTACACCAAAGATTTGCTTAAAACAAGACCATTTCAGCAATCTGCTGTTAGGAAGACCAGCAATATTTTCTTTCTAAGATGGATTCTCATGTAGCCCAGGCTGGCCTTGAATTCACTATATACCTGAGGATGACTTTGAATTCTTGATCTGCTTGCCTCTACCTTCTGGTTACTACAATGACAGGCATGCTCTACCATATCCATTTTAATGAATTTCTGGGCATTGAACCAATGGCTTCATGCTTCTACCAACTGAGCTGTATCCCACATAAGTAATTTCTAATTCACCTATGTAGAAGACTAGAAGACCCTATACAAGTTACAGGAAATCATGAGTTTAGAGACATATGTTGTTGTGGGATATTTGTATACGATGTAAAGATATATTGCTGTGATTGATTTAACAAAGAGCTGAATGGCCATTAGCTAGGCAGGATGTATAGGTGGGACCTTCCAGCAGAGAAAAGAAGTAAAAGTAGATAATTGTGGTGCAGAGGAGACACCAACAAGACACAAGGGGGAACTGGACATACAGAATGAAAGAAAGGTAAAAAGCCACAAGGCAAAATGTAGATTAATATAAATGGGTTAATTTAAGCTAGAAGAGTTAGTGGGACAAGTTTAAGCTAAGGCCTAGCTTTCATAATTAATATTAAGTCTCTTTGTCATTATTTGTGGGCTGGCAGCCAACAAAAAAGCATATTACATTTGGTGTCCAACATGGGTGACATATTTCCACAAAGGACCTAAGAAAGCTTTTTTAAAAAGTTCTAAACACACAAACACGGAGCCAGACATGGCTTCCTAGTCCTGCAGTCTCTCAGGTGGGCCACAATATACAGAGATGCAGCTTCTGGCTGCTGTCTGCAAGCTTGAGCCAGCAAGCAGGTTTAAGGCTTGGCTAATGTGGTCAGAGAAGGCTGCAGACACACAGTAAAGTGGTCCAGGCTGAGAAAACCTTTAAACAGATACAGTAAAAAAAATGGGTATAGACAGTCATAGAAAAAATATTTTAAAGTAATAATGTCTTTAAAGAGAGAGTAAACTAATAAAAAAGAAAAAAAAGCCACATAAGGATGGTAAATACACAGGGCATCTGGATCCTGTATGGTGCTTTGCTGACTTTGAATGTTTTGAATACTCATGAGAAAATGGCAGCTGCTGAGAGACATTGTATTAAGAAAGGTACTGCTGAATTAAAACAGCCTATATACTTTAGTGATATCTTGGTTTCAAAATGGAAATCAGAAAATGTGCTGCACCGGAGGAAAGGTTATGCTTTTGTTTCCACAGAAAACAAAAAGTTATGGTTCTCTTCAAAATTAATGAAGATCAAATTTGATTGGGGGAGACCTCCTGAAAATCTTGACTATAGACATGAAGAAAGAAACCAAGAAAAACTATAGAAGGGGTAATATATATATGCTGATCCCTCTACATGGGAACAGCTCTGAGACTGGATGGCACATGATAAATCTTGTTGGCTACAGAGTCCTCATGACTTAATTTTGCATTCCATTCTATCATATAACACAGAGATTTATATCATAGTTTGGCTATACAGTCCCAATGAACTTATAAAGTTAACAGATGCCTTTTACCTGCTCAAACATAAAACAACAACAACAAAAATCTTTAGCTGACTTATGTACACTGCACATTCCATAATTGTGTTAATACAGATTTGCATGTTACCTTTAAAGGTTTGTATGTTTTTAGAACAAAAGGACCAGGCATCAATAAAGACAAAACAAATAGCCATGGTGATCCAAGTTCTCAGAATTTCTCTGTTGCAGTTTCCTCAAAAAAAAAAAAAAAAATCTACCTCCAGAACAACTTTAAAGCTGCTAGTTGAGATGGTCCAGCCTCACAGATTCTTCTAGCCAGACTTCAGATAAGCCCCACATTTTCCCATCATACCATGACTAGTCAACAGCTAGGTCTCTCCGGACTTAACCATTGTCTTAATTTTTAAGGGTCTCCCTAAAGATACTGTCATCCCCAAACAACAAAAAGCAGTCAAGGGAACATGATGCCCACATTACAAAGAAGTGGGGTGGGTAGTTTTGTTTGTTACCACTTAGGATGGTTGGATACAAATTATTACTAGTTATAATCAGGGAGAAAGCTAAACAAAGAAAATATAAAAATATACAGAAGTATAGAAATGATGTGATAAAAGGGTGGATTATTGAGTCTACTTTTGAATAACCACTAGTCTCAAATATTTTACATTGGTATGGATTTTTGTATATTGATACAAATTTAAGGTTATTTTTGTTATCCTGTATATATGTTTCTACTCTTGTTTAAAGTATTGTACATATGCAGCTCATTAAAAATGTAAATGTAAAGTTTTAGTCCTTAAAAGCTATTTAGGATAATAAAGAAAAACAGGATAGTAGTTAATTATCTATAACAATCAAACTTATAGTCATGTTAGGTATGTTTTCAAGTTCAAAAAGAGATATATTTTGAATAGATAAATGATCTTCAAATGCTTCAAAAACCTACAGAATATTGTACTTAAATATTTTAATAACATTAAGACTTTTCATGATAGTGAGACATGTCTGCTCCTCGCAGCAACAAATTACTTCAGAAAAGGATGATGGGCACTGAACAACCTCCATATGGAGTTTGCTTTTATTGTGACAAAGCCACTGGGCAAAAAAGTGCCCTTGCCTCAACTGCTGACAGTAAGCTGTCTAAACTGGACAAATAGGACACAAAAGAAGACAATGTCAAACTTTGCCAAAACAAATTTCCTATTTCACAAAATTCTGTCAGATATTCTAGGCCTGTAGGCCAAAAGTGGGTGCTCCAACATTTCAAAGGAATCTTGGGTGGCTGTCCAGGCAGCCATCTGTTTCTGTCATTTCTATCGTTTTGGAAGTAGTTTGCTTTGCACTTCCTGTTTACTTAGGTAGTAGTATATTCTTCTTGGGTCTCTAGTAGAGGTGAAGACAAAATAGTTATAGTTATAGTTTTCCTTGTTACTATATTTTTAAAAATAAAGTATGTAATGTTGGTAGACATAGAAGCTTAAATTGTTTATCTAAGAAAATGTTTTAAGGTCTAAAAAGATAGTTTTTGGATAGTAATACGAGTTATGATAGAAAATATTTTAGGTACAAGACTTTAAATTCATCAAGATAAGGTACATAGGGTATTTTCTCCAAATTGCCAAATATATATGAACTAAACATTGTAAGAGTAATTCTTACTTGATAATTGTTCTTATTGTATGTAGTTTTACTATGTTAGAGTTAAAACCTTTCCTTTTTATTTAGACAAAAGAGGGAAATGTGGGATATTTGTACAGTGTGTGAAGGTGTATTGTTGTGATTGGTATAATAAAAACCTGAACAGCCCATTGCTAGGCAGGAGGTAAGTGTGGGATTTCCAGGGAGAGAAAGGATGGAGGTGCACATGGAAGACACCAGAAGACATGGAGAGGGAACAAGAGGTCTGAGATGGAAGAGAGATAATGTCAAATGATAAAATATAGATTAATAATTTAAGTTGTAAGAGCTAGTGGGACAAGCCTAAGATAAGAAAAATCCTATTTCAATATGTGCTTAAATAAACAATGGGTGTTATGACCTCCATGCTATCTAAAACAGAACTTTATTCTACAGCTACCATCCTGGACATTCTGCTCATGAAGCACTTCAAAACTATCTGATTCAGAAAGGGAACTCTTGATTCAGAGTATTCTGCTGTTTCTACCACATTCCATATCCACCCTTTTGACCAGCACATCAAAAGGAAATGTAGATGCTTTATTTGCATACATGGTCAACAAAAGAAACTACTTTTGCTATAAGCCATGTCTTTCAGTGCCTGCTCCTCTCAGTTGTATCTAGGTCCAGTTTCTAATACTGAGTTCCTATCATGGCTTTGGCAATCATCCTTTTACCACTAACACATTCTCTGATTTCTATAGAAAAATGACCAGCTTTTTCTACTATTCTCAAAGCCTGATGCTATCTTAAGAGCAGAAGATAAGGAAGTGGGGAGCAGTTGATACTTTTCTGCTTTTGGCCATGGTCTTATACAGTCTCTAACTGATGTGGTTACATTTGCTCTGGTTTTATTTGCTTGTTCATTTTCCTCAGTAGATAACAATAATGTTTGGTACTTTAGATGTCTGGAGTACACTTGAATAAAAATTTTCTGAATAATTCTATCTTAGGAGTAAAGTGAAAAAAATGTAAACCACAGGTGGATCTTTGAACATACTACAAAAACGAATCCATTATGGAATTTCTGTATAGAGCTGACAAGCCACTACTGAGACCCTCAATCCTTGGTTAAAGGTTTTATAAGTACTCACCAAGATCTTTAACAAGGGAGAGTGCTTCCCATGATATGACAGCTCCACCACCATCATCCAGGGCACCTTGCCCAACATCCCAGCTGTCCAGATGTCCACTGATCAGTACAACCTAGAATAGATAATAAAAAGAGGAAAACACTAAGCAAAATAACATCAAAGAAGATATATCCAGGTATTTCAAACAGGAAGACTAGAAGTCTTACATTTGTGTCTTAGAAGACACACATTGTTTCTAGTGGGGAACATGTCCAACAGCATTGGTACAATTCCAAATCCATTCTCAGAGCAGTGAAAGCCCTCCACTAGTGTATCTTCATCAATAGTGTAATCTTGACTACTAAAGGAATCTGTTTATTGATTAATGGTTTTTAAATTTTCTATTTTATAGTTTAAAGTCAAAATTACATAAAAAGGAACTCAAAACTTCAACCACATTTTTAATTGGTTATTGATTCTAGATCTTGATACCCAATAAACTTATTAAGTTAAATTCAAATTTAAACATGGGAACAATAATTTTTTTAAATGATTGTGTTCTTCAAATTATAAATTACTTTGGTGTTAAACAAATAAGACTTAAAACTTCCAATTGAACAGAACATTTAAGAGAGATTTCTATTTATATTAGGGTAAATATAGAGAAATGTGGAGATTATGTTATAAAGTTTAAATCACCACAAATTTAAATGATATTTAAAGAAATGTCAGTAATTCCCTTTCAGAAAGCACAAAGGTGATTTCACTAGAACTAAAATAAACCTTTCCTTCCATTGCTGGTTATAGAATCCAAGGCCTCATGAGTGCCAGCGAAGTGTTATACTGCCATGTCACACAACTAGATGTTAGTGAATTAAAATGTATCGCCAACAAGCTGGAAACCGAATAAAATGGTGCTATGTCAACAAAGTATTAATACAGAAAATATCCGGATGCCCATGAATCATGTAATATGCAACATGGATCAGATGGATTACAGAGCTGGTAACAACTTTAGGGAAACAGCTTTGTCAACTTAGAGTGGGCAACAGTTTCCTAATAGATATAAAAATCACTAACTATAAAGAAAAATAGTAAATTAGACCCTGCAAGAGTCAAAAATATCTCCTCATCCAAGGACTCTTTAAGAGAGTGAAAAGGTATCTTACAGTTAGAAAAATCCATCTATAATAAAATAAAGGACTTATATACATGAGTTGTAAAAAGAATTCCCATGTAACAATAGCAAACGGCCAATTGATAGAAAAATGGGCACAATACTTATATAGACAACTCACATACTTACAAAAAAATACACATTACCAATAACCATAGACAAAAGTACCCAGGATCATTATCATCAAAGATATAAAAACTAAACCACATTAAATATATAGCCACCAGAGAGCTAAAATGAAAAATGTCAAATAGTGGTCAGAAGGCAGCACAACCAGAATTCTTAAACATTGTTGGTGGGGGTGGGGGTGGGGGTGGGGGTGGGGGTGGGGGCCCATACAACCACCCTGGAAAACTATCTTTCTGTGGACTGTGAACATGCATACAGACTATGACCCAGAAATCTTACTCCTAGTTGTATGGTATGTCCAGAAGTGTGTGTGTGCATGTGTGTGTGTTTATATGTGTGTGTGCTTTAACTATGACAGTTTTCATAACAGAATATTAATAGGCATGTCCTCCTCTGAAAGGGAAAATATCCAGATGTCTATTAAAAGTACAATGAATAAATTATATTCATGAGTGGAGCACCACACAACAATAAGAATAGACAAATATAATGCATGATGAACAGTATAAAAAATAAAAGAAGCCATACACAAAATAATATACTATGTATAACTCCATCTACATAAAGCATAAAGTGAAACAAAATAGCAAAGTAGTTCCCTTTGTCAATGAGTGTGAGAATGGAAGGAGGTACAAGGTGAGATTTTGGAAAGCTGTCATGCTCCTATGTGGACACTGGTTATGCAGCTGTGCTTAACACGTACACTTAGCATGTGTAAACTCTCCCTGACAATATTAAACTCAACAACATTTGCAGAAGTTCAGCATATTAATATCGATGCATGACAAGCTGTCAGAAAACCAAAGCTGAATCAATCTTGATGGTTAACATGAAAGTTCACCATTACCTTAGGCATGGTTGGGACCTAAAATATTACTGTGACCTTTGCACTGCTTGCTCCCTGAGCAGCTGAAAGATCTCCTGGTGACTTATAGCTGACCCAGCCTAGTATGACTTCATTGTAGTCATAAACAAGGATAATGCCCCAGACTAATAAATGGCCATATAATGAACCCAAATGGATTGTTTCTAAGGGGGAATTAAAAACAAAACAAAAACAAAGAAAAAGGAGCATGTTGCAATAGCAGAATCTTCTGACTGAGAAGGTGGTGTCATCCCAGAGAAGTCAGGGTGTTCTCTGTCATACCCTCACAGCCCAGGGCCATTGTCCCAGTAAGGCTGTAGTAAACTAAAATGTCAAAACATGATTTAATTAACTTTTTTCTTAATTCATTCAGGAGTAACCACATTAAGACAGCCATTGTTTTATATTTCTGACTTCTTCCACAATTATTGAGCTCATTTCATAACTCTATTTCTTTGTGTCTCTTACAAGCTTCCACTCCCCAGATAGCAGTTACCACTTACATTAGCAGTTATGACAGGAACGATGGCTTGGAGCAGTAAAAAGTTAAATTATATACTATCTGATCAGACCTTTGCCACAGTGCTATAGAAGAAAATATATCATTTTGATTGTGAGAGTTTTAAAACATTTTCAAATAATAAAATGTTGGGGGCTACAATCTGATAGTTATAAATTCAGTGTCTATTTTAATAAGGTAACAACAAAATTACCTCTAATTTAGTAGCATTTAAAAAGCAAACTTGAAATTTTCTCATTGTAAAAGCTTCTACATACATGTAGAAAACAATAGTGAAAATTTCATTCAAAATGGTATCAGGCCAGTCTCTAAAACTCTATCGAAGCCTAGAAGAAGCCCATCCAGAAAATATACAAACTTTCAGGGCCAGCGGCAGGCACAGATGAACATTAGTTGCAATGAAGTTGGATCTGATTTAAGCAAGCAAATCAGAAACATACTAACTACCCAGAGCAGCAGTAAACTCAAGGTTCACACAACTTAGCACCTGGTAAAGGGGAATATCAGCCCTTCATCATAATCCCTGAAACTAAACAGTTTTATCACCCACAGCTAAGAAAGAAACGTTGGGGTACCCTCTTGTGTGCTGCCACCTTAAGTCAGGCAGAGCTCTAACCAGTTCCTCCCCTCAAATGGCCTTTCCACTAACATCTCTTCTAAATTCATTAAACCGTAAGAGGCACTGAAGACAACAAAAACCACAACAGCAGCCATGAAAAGACAATAGGAAGGAGAACGGGTAGTCCGGTGATCTGAAATGTGAGGTGTGTTCTCTGTGAAGCACACCTCAGCACACCCCTAGCGGCCACCAGAGGCTTGGGCCTGGGTGCAAAGTGGCCGGGGAATTAGACTGGTAAGGGTATAAACCCTGGCAGGACAGCTGCTGCGCTCTGAGTGGAGAAGGATGGAATTAGGGAGGCAGAACACAACCCCCAGGATATGCATCCTCTTCTGTTATTTGTCATGTCCTGAGAGTCTGGATCCAAATCGATTTTCCTGATTAAAAGATGAATAAGAACACAAGCAAAAACATGGCCGAACAAAAAGAAAGAGTGGTCTGTGAAGCAGTATATTTTTATGAAAATGCTCTAATATGAGCTACCAGAGAAAGCATGGTCTTCAGTTTTGATGCATGAGATGTCCTTCTATAATTTTATTGACTTCTCACTATGTGCTAGAGATACAGAAATAAACAAACATCCTGTTGTAAATGAATCACATTCTAGAGGAGAAGACAAAAAATAAGTAAATAAATATAATGCAAGTAAAGTTTTAAATGGTAAAAAGACAAAAGCTAGCATGATGGCACACATCTCTGATCTCAATTCTGGAAGGCTCAGACAGGCAGATTGCCAGTTTGAGGCCAGTTGGGCCACATAGCGAGTCTATGTTATAAAACAATAATGAAGAGAAATGGAGAGGGGCAGAGAGCAGAGAAAACAGAAGGATGGTGGCAGGGATTGGTCTGGAGAAAACTGGAAATGTTTTTGTGGAAATGAGTTCTCTCCCTAAGGAGAAAGCATTTGAATAAAAATAGCCCCAATGGATCCACAGGGACTATCACTATTAGGAGGTGTGGCCTTGTTGGAGGGGGTGTGGTTTTGTTGGAGGAAGTGCATCACAGGTGGGTAGGCTTTGAGGTTTCAGATGCTGAGTGTCATCTGAAACATATAACACACGTGGTCAGTGTGTTATAGTCACATCCTGCTGCCTGTGGATCTAGACGTAGAAGTCTCAGCTACCTCTCCAGCACCAGGTCTGCCTGCACGCCACCATGCTTCCTGCCATGACAGTAATGGACCAAACCTCTGAACTGTAAGCCAGACCCAAATACATGTTGTCCTTTATAAGAGTTGCCATTGTCCTGGTGTCTCTTTTCAGCAATAGAACCCTAACTAAGACAGAGACCAAACAGTCTAAGCAGCTTGGAAACACATGCAGACACTGAGTGGAAACAAGGGCAGCACATTTGAGGACTGATAAGAATCTGGTGTGACTAGAGTATGGCAACAGTAGTTGCTGGAAAGACATGGAAGCCATGGGAGACACACAAACATGCAAGCCACAGAGGGGAATTCTATTTCGTTCTAACTGATAAGAAGCCACGAGGGAAACACAGCATCCCACGTATGTGTAACAACAGTCAACGCTAGTTGGTAAGCAGTGAAGAATGCAGAGTGAAGAATGAGGGGAACCAACCCTACGTGCTGAAACTAATTCATCCAAAATCAGTTTATGAGGGAAAACTAGCCAGCCATAGGAGAATGCTGTCCCTTCCCTAACAATAAGAAAAGTAAAATAATCCACAGAACTACAAAACCATAACTTCATTTTTAACAGGAGGGCTAAATCTCAAGAGATAACATGGACCTTCATGGAGAAATGAGACAGCACACTATTGGTCTTTGGAAGGAAAAGGAAGGAGATTTGGCAAAATGGGAG